AGTGCCATATTCGTAATGAGCATCCCCAAATACCTCGAAAAGGATACTCATATAGCATATTTTGAAAAATCGTGTCCGCCATCTTGGATTTACAAATAAGTGCTATATTCGTTTTTCATCGACAAAACCGAGCACATCTGTAGGCACCTGATCGACAATGTCGGGCAAATCTGTAGGCACCTTTAACTTAATGATGAGTTAAGCAAGATACAATTTCCCCACTTTTGAGGGAAATGTTATTCCATGGCATCATTATTTGTATATTTGTGTGCGTGCCGACGAGCGTAGTTACAAGTTGCTTACGCCTACATGAATTTGGTTTTTGCCTCACTTGTGACAGTTCGTTTGATATGAAACTATCATTCTATGCGTTATTATTCTAAGCCCACAGCATAATTATTGTTTTTATGTATTGTTCTTGATATCATACTACCTATATTGTGCTGAGAAAATGAACAAAACTTACTGTTATTATACGTTAAATAACTTCCATAAAGTTTCTTACGGAAATAGGTAATGTAGGTTCATTAACCATTTGCGTTGCAATAAAATAAAATAATTGGCTTAGTTATTTGTGACGTTATAGTAGTAACGATTTTATCACCAGATCGGCCGTTTTTGTTAAACACTGTACAATATCTTACTGGTTTCAATGTCTCGGCAAGCAGAGTGCAGGATACCGGAGAAAAGCTCCAAACCGATGATGGCGTATATGATAATCACGAACAGCACCAAGAACGCGATGTGGAATAAAGGAATCATCGCTTTTAAAATTGAGTTTAACACAATTTGGAGACCTGAAACAGAATAATAAAGGTTATTTTTACAGAAAATATAATAATTATAATGGTAGCAAAAACATTTGCTAGATCTCTATCAATAGTGACATATATTTATAACTTTATATATATAGTTACTATCGCTCTGGTTTTTGTTATACTAACTATGAAGATGGTGTAAAAGGTGGAAAACTTAGAATAAATAACCAGAAATAGAGATGAAATAAGAGCCATACATTCCTGGTAACTCATCAGTAATACATCACTTATAAATATCAA